ATCATACTAGACCAGTTTTACTCAAGAAATCAGTCGTACGAGGCCAATGGTGCTGGCAGACCGAATATTTGTCAAAAGAGGATGAGGTCAATCATTCCGCCCGAAGAAAAATGTCATAATAGTATTGGATAAAAAGGATTAGTGAATAAGGAATATAATGTAGAATAAACCAACATATGAATTAGGACACATGTCATAATGGTATTACACAAACTAAACTTGAGAATCAAGATATACCTCCCCTGTAAAAGGGGCATAAGGTATCACAAAAACACGTTTTCTCTACATTCACTACTATACTATCATATTATACTTATCTCTAGCAAGTGCTGACTTAGGCATCGGAGGCTCGACACTGGTACCCCTCCTGGCATTGAGGTCTTGCTGGTACAATTGAAGGAGTCTGGGTGAAGTACATTTTACTACTACTACAATAATTTTTAAATGAAATATATTTAAATATCAATCAAAAAAGTTTATACGTTGAGACTTTTATTATTATCATATGAAAGAATAAATAGCGAAAAATGAGCCTTATGGTCAAAAGAAAACGATACTAGTTTTAGTTGGTCCATATGACATTATGTTCGCATAAAGAGAACCATAAAGTATTAGGAATAATGTACATAAAGAAAAGAAAAATAATTGAAAAAGAAAGTCTCTCTCAGTCCCTACCTATAGAAACCAATGCTAGGAAATAACGTATTTAATAGATTTATATATATATATAACCGCTATTTTTAATCGTGCGTAATGCTATAGTTGGTTGTGTTTAGTGTTATTTTTAACTAGGATGAATTTTATTAAAAATAGCAACACAATTTATATTAGTATTTGTGAAAATGATAGCATTATCTAATATTATATATATATATATATAAGTCGGTTTAAATGAGAATGAATAATAGTAGAAAAAATAAAAATAAATTTGTACCATTAGATCTACTAGTGCGTGGCCCGTGCGATGCACGGGAAAACAATATTACGATTGTATTAAAAATTAAATATATAAATAACATTAATCATGATTTATCCATTGTTCTTAAATTAAACCGGGTTGGACACAGTCCGACCGGATGGACCTAGAACCGGTTATAACCAGTATAGTTCGCTTCAATAAAATATTTGCTCTCGAATCCGTCAACACTAGTCAGTTGGACTGGTAGGATCGATACGATTTTCTAATAAATTTTTTTATATTTAAAATTATTTTAAATAAAATTACATATTTAAATAAAATAGAGATTATAAATTATTTATCAATTAGGTTAAACATTTGAATTTATAAATTATTTAGATATCTAAGTAACGCATTTTAATTAAATTTATTACAAAAAGTACTATATATATATATATTCAAATGTTTATAAATTAAAATCTAAACAAACCACAAATGATTTAATAAAATAGCTTGATTGTTTCGATGACGGTCCGGTTCTGAAACTTTATATTTATTGTACATTAATAAATATTATAATAAAATACTAATTAATTCACATAAATATTAATAAAATGATATATAAATATTCATAAATCATTAAACATGTTGTCGTAAAAGTATTGTTAATACGATTATTTGAAGTTTGGACTACATCACATTCATGTAATAAAATATTTTCAATATAAAATTTATATTTAGGTTCAATAATCGATTTGGTGTGATCGAACTGATACATAACTTAGTCACCTGGCACCAACCAAGTTGTGTCAAGTTTTTTACTATTTTAAATATCGCCTAAAGCAATTCAATCAACCTTTGCAGTACCCCAATTCAATCACCCGATTGATCCGAAGAAATTTTCTTATTTTCTTTAAATATATTTAATTTTATGAAATAAAAATATTTTATGATTCATATAATAAATGTCTACACCAAATGATAGTATTTTGAGATTATAAATTGTATATCTAAAGATGAATTAATTATTTTTACTTTATGCATATTAATAAAAAATAAACATAGTAATTTTTTAAAAAATTAAGATTAATTGATTGATTATGCAATTTAAAGAATAATTTTAGCGTTCAATTTTTTTTTTTAAAAGCACAAATATAAAAACCGAGATTTTAAAACCTTTGTTATATTTTGAATTGAGATTTTATAAATATAGAGACCGAGATTTTAATGTTGTTCGTTATTTCTAAGAAAAAAATAAAATTAAAAAATACACAATTAATGAATCAGCTGAATTTTTTAAATAATAAAATGAACTAAAGCCCGAAATTTAAGGTAGCATTTAATGCTGTATAATTTTTAAAGTAAAAATAAGAAAAATAATAAAACTTACTATTTATAGGCTGCATTAAATTCTGACCAATTTTTTTGCTACTATTTTTGGTAAATGGTAATTCTTATTATATATATAGAGATTATATTAATGATCATGCTGAAGTCAAAGTTTATTGAATAACGGTCAAATACATGGTGGTAATACGTAAATAAATGTACATATTATGGTTTATTATATACATTTGACCACTCATTAAGGGTAAATTGGTCATTACAATAACTACAAATCACCCAGTGGGTCCCACTCCAACCACCAATCATCACACACTCTCTCTCTCACACACGCATGCACAAACTCAATACACACACATACATACAACACACATGTTACAATCAGCAGCACTGGACCTTCATCCTCCACTTGTTGCCACCAGCGTCGCCGTCGTGCCTCCGTCGTTCGCCATCGGAGACAAATGCGACACAAGGTAATCCGGTAGAGAAGCCTACATGTCGTGCGTCGCGAATCCGCTGTCCAATTTCACATCTCCGTCCAATTTTCGTCATTATTGTACGTGCTTACTCTAATTTTCTTTCTTTTTTTTTTTCTGCAAAACTACCATATTGAGTCGTTGGAAGGTACCTTATAAAAAGTTTTTCTCTCTCTAGAAGGAAAAAAAGTCCCAAATATGTCGAACAGGAAAGCCCTCGTCTGATAGCCGCTTAGCCTCCCCGTTGCTAAGGGCATCACTCCTCCGAGGTGCTGACCGACATCGGGGCGTCGTCCGATCTTGCCGATGATCTGTGTTTTCTTCCCATCCTCTGTCGTTGTTCCTTGGCTATGGCGGTTCTGTTGGGAGGAGGTGTTGCCAGTGAAGTCGGAGTTGTTTGCGCTGGTCGCTGCTATGCTGGAATATGGGGCTGAAGTCTGCGGTTCGTCGTCTCATGGGGTTGGGATGGAAGACTCTTTCGGCGGGTGCGACGATCGTCTTCAGGTGATTGGCTACAGTCGCCAATGTGATAGGGAGTTCTGTCGTTGATTTCTCGATATGGGTCTGAGGTCTTCAATCGGGATCTAGCCAGGCTGGTTTGGGTTTAGTTAGACTTTGTTGTAGTTTCTAGATCTAAGTTGGGTTGGGGGTTTGTCTTGGGAGTCCGACTCAGTTGGAGGCTTCGGTGCTTTTCGAGTAGTAGGTGATGACGTTATTCTAATTTTTGTGTATTAGGTGTGAGTTGTAAGAGTTTTGTTTGTTTTCTCATGTAGTTATTTTTGCTAGTCCAGCTTCATCTGATTAAAGTCTCTTTCATAGAGTTTTAGTCTCCTTTTTGGAGTTATCTAGTCTTCTTGTTAGAGTTTGTATCTATTGGTCACCTGTGTAATTCCAATGGAGTTGGTCCAGATTTTTTTCTGGTTCCAATTGTGTCTGTTGATATTTTGAGTGTACTCTTTTTAGTTTTCTAGTTATTAATATAGTTGTTATTTGAAAAAAATAAAAAAAATCTTATTTTCCTTTTCTCTTAGAAAAAATATTGTTTATTGATGGACCAAAACAAATTCTTTATTTAAGAACTATCAGAATAACACCCTTTTTTCGTGAGCTTGGTCCCCTAGCCACTATAGGCTTCCCACGGCCAAAATTAATTTTAAAATCTTTGCCTATTTAACCAAAACTAGTATTCGCTTATGTGCACGTGTACAGATTTTTAAATTATTATAAGCTATATGTATGTGTATAATATTAAAATTATAAGTTAAGTAATATATAGTATCACATTTTAAACATTTTATCATTAATAAAAATGATTATAAAAGTATTTAACTTCATCACTATATTGATTGCATAAAATGAAATTTATAATGTAATTTTTATATATTTGAGGGATCATGACCTATTATTTATATTAAAAAGTATTATTATTATTATTATTATTATTATTATTATTATTATTATTATTATTATTATTATTATTATTATTTACGAAATTTTAAGAGGTTTGGTTATACCACTAAAGCCAAAATAGCTTTTTTAAAAAATGCTTAAAAGCAATAAAAAGTTTAAGAAAAAAATTTTCAATATAATTTTTTACACTTATGGAACTTCCATATCATTTAGTATGAATTATAATTGGTTAGTTTTAGTAATAACTATTATATAATAAAATAATTAAAAATATAATTATGTTTTAATTAACCATTGTGTTAAAAAATGTCATCGATTAAATTTCAGTTACTGGTTTACAAAAAATATATTGGATTGTAACAAAAAAATACAGAAAATTTAAATAATTTAATTTTTTTATTAGAATATTTTTGGTTATATATATAAATATATAATTTTTATTTGATTAGTGAGTTATTTAAGGTTTTAATTAAAATATAAAATAAAATAAAATATATATATATATATATTTGTGAGAAGAAAATAAATGAGATTTTATTAATTGTTTTGTTACTAATTATTATATATATAGATAATTAATTGCCATTAAATACCCGCAAACGTGTTAACCAATCAACGGTACGACAATCGCTGCACGCTCAAACAAAGCGTCACATCTGATCCCCGCCCGCATTCTCACACATCCCACCACCGTAATTACGTCTATACCCCAGACCCATTTCTGTCATTTTATACCCCAACTTCTCTATATAACCAACAAAAGCCCTCTCTCTCCCCACAAATCCACAATCCTTGCTTTTTTTTTTTCACGCACACTAACAGTATACGAAATACCTTTTACAATTTCTGCTCTCCAAAAGCTCGATTTGACAATGGGGTTTCCGGTGGGTTGTACAGATTTATTCCTCCCCAAATTGTTGGTTCACTTGTTGACGGCTTTGGGATTCGTCCGCAAGTTCGTCTGCGCCGCCCTCTCTCTGCTGGGATTGGGGGATTTTCTGGAGCCGGAGGCGGCGGCGTACGGTGCTCGGGTCGAAATCGGATCGGAGACATGCTCCGTCTCGGCGGCTCTGATTAGGGAGATACTGCCGGTGGTGAGGTTCTCGGATTTGGCGGTGGGCGGGGATCTGGAGCTGCCGGAGAGCTGCGCTGTGTGTTTGTACGAATTCGGCGGGGAGGACGAGATCCGGCGGCTGGCAAACTGCCGGCACATATTTCACCGGTGCTGCCTGGACCGGTGGATGGACCATGATCAGAAGACGTGCCCGCTGTGTCGGACGCAGTTCGTGCCGGAGGATATGCAGGAGGCGTTCAACGAGAAGCTGTGGCTGGCCTCGGGGATAACGGATGAGTACTCGCCGATCGCCGCCGATCTATAGGATGGTTATTTTGGTTATTTTTGTAGATACACATTTGGGGGAGATGGATGAGGTGGGTAGAGATGTAAATATATAATTACATGGATTTGGAAAATAAACAAAAGAAAACGCGAATTGTATAGCATTTTCCTTTTGTTTTATTTACTGGTGTTGGTGCAGTGATCGTGAGTTTATCTGTTAATGTTTTTCTTTTCTCAATTATTTTGATAAAAAATACTATATATATATAGAATTTTGATTAAAGTGAAAATTTTATTTTGGAAGCAATTTTTTTAACTCTTATATTTTTTTATTTTATCAATATAACTAAATAATATCAATAATATTTTATTATACATTTTGAAAATTCACTATTCATCAAAGTTTTATTTACCAAAATAATGTTTCCTAACACAGCTATACAAAGTTTATTTTTCAAATACCCATTTATAATTGTTAATACAATTTGCAATTAGTTATACACTATCCGCTATCTATTAATAAACACAACCACAGAGAAATGAAGAAAAAGTAAATTTTTGAAGTATATAATAATATTTTTTTATTTTTAAATTGTGTTTGTGAAAATTGTAGTTAAAACAAATTAAATCGAATGAATAACAAGTTTTGTGATTTTTTTTTTCTTTCAATTAAGTGATATATAGCTTTTATTGATCGGTAAAAAATGAACAACAAAAAAAAAATGTATCAAAATAATAAATGAACAGTTGAACGTCCTACTCCTTGATTGTCTGATTTTTTTGTAGGAAATTTACGGAACTGCAATTT